CCCCCCCGCCCTCCTACACCTTACCCGCCCAGCCCGTCGATGCGTGATGTGGCCGGAGGGCTGGGTCGCTTCTTTCCTCATCGATGTAAACACGCCTTCCCTTCTGGTATTTGCAAAGGACACACCGCTGTCCAGGGCGGGGCGGCGGCACGTCCAGGGCGCCGGCCGTGACGTCACTGTCACCGTCACGAGTTGGTCTCGGTCTCGCTTTTGGCCACGCTCAGCTCCATGACATTCGCGCGGCGCCCGGAGCTCCTGCGAGCATGCCCCCAGCAGCGTCGTCCTTGCCGGAGGAAGACACAAACTATGGAGGAAACGGATGGGAGCAAGCCCGCGAAATGTGAAGTGGCGTGTTGGTAGTGTTTGTGGGGAGCGAGGGTCGTCGTCTTTCTTTTTCCTTCCGGAGGCTGTGGAAGCACATAAGAAGTCGCGTCGGCGCCGTGTCGCGCTCCCCGGGCCCCCTCCATTCGGACACGTGTTAAGGGAAGGCAAACACGACATTCTAGGCAGCAGCGGCTGACCAGCACGTCGGGCACGTCTAGCCGTGCGGCCCGGGGCCCGATAGCGAGGCTGGGGACGGCCTGTATGGCGGGCCCAAGGCTGCGCGCCGCTTTGTCGATAGGGCGCCCTTAGGGGACGGGACCTCGGAGCGGGACGCCGGCACCGCCGCAGGGCACATATTTCGCGCGCTTAATTTAATTCCGCGGTGCGGGCCTTTGAGGGTTCCCCGCCTATGGGGGGTCGGTACCCCGCCCCGCCGAGGCCGCCGACGTGCGTGAAAGACAAGATCCGGGGCGCGGTCCATTCGGAACCCGCGACGCCGGACAACGGCCATGCGACAAAAGACTCGGTGCGCGGTACTCCCCCGACGCCCCCGACCTCGGCCCGAACCTGGCGTGGAGGTGGTGCCGTACCTGGAGGTGCTGCTCCACCCGCTTCCCTTCGCGTTGCCTCAGGCGATCGAGCTCCCCTCGCCCCTTTTCCCAAAGCGGTACATCCGATTGCCGTCGCCAATTTGTGCGATTTCGATTCAGATTGCCTCTTGCCTCCCCCTAGCCACCCTTGGTTGTGTAGGGTTGTGAGATGCCTGACTCCGGGCCATTTAGGGAGGCGTTAAGGGGATTCCCGTCTCCTGCCCTCTTAGACTAGATCGAGTGCAGTCACCTTCCCGACCGTTCCTCGCCGTACTGGTCCTCCTGGTGAACCCCGGACGTGACATTGCGCGGGTCGGGGGAGGCGCCGGGGGGCTTGGCCGTGGCGGCGGCGGCGGTGGTGGTGGTTTGGTTGTTGTTGCCGCGATTCGATCCTTCCTGTCGAGCTGCTCGGGTCTGTTCCTCCTCCGGCTCCCGCCCCTGCTCCCGCCGCTGGTCCCCACTCCGCCGCTCCCGCCACGCTGCGCTGCGCCCGGCCCACTCAGTCTCAGTCAGTCTGCCTCCGGAGTGTCTCCGCCGCGGTCCGCCCGTCCGCCGTCCCGTCCCGCCCCGTCCGCCCAGCACCGCGAGGGCCGCGTCGTCGACATGGCCGCCGACCTCCTCTCCACCAAGATGGAGTCCTCGATGCACATCACCACCAAGACCGTGGGCGACGACCGCATACGGCGCGCCAAGGAGAACGACGAGGACATCGCCGTCCTGTCCACGTTCTTGCCCGAGGCCCTGGACGACGCCAAGTCCACCCGGCACTTTGAGTGCGCGCTCGGGTACCGCTGCCTCCTGGGTGACCCTCGGAAGGCCCTGGCAGGTAAAGCAGCTTCAATTAGTGCGGATCCACGAACGCGGCGCCGGCCTGCCACGAGCTGGCCCCGGCCCAGCTGACGGGCACGTGCACCGAGAGACGGGGGCCTCTCGGCGGGGTCGTTGACGTCGCCGTTGTCCTGGACGGCCCGGCGGACGTGGTGTCGGATTCCATGAGCGTGGCCGTCCGGGAGCAGTGGTGCGGAGTCCGACCGAACGGCTCTGCCACCTGGCCGTGACTGTCGCCGTGGAGATAAGGTGGCCGATGACAGCCGGTGCTCTGCCACCTGGCCGCGGAGTGCCGCCGTGGAGGTAGGGTGCCCGATGGCACCCTCTGCCACCTGGCCGTGGAGGTAGGGTGCCCGATGGCACCCGGTGCTCTGCCACCAGACCGAGGCTCATGGCTGGAGTGCCGGGTCAGCGAGCCGCGGCCTGCGTGCCAATTATGGCGCACTGCTCACACACTTCGAACCATTTTGGTCAGGGCCGCCCCCCCCCCCTCCCTCCTCTTTGCTCGGCTGGTAGCAGCAAAGTCATCATCTAAATGTTATTAAGACCAACCGCGCCACCCGGCGGCGGCGCAGTACAGCCGGCACAGGTGACCGCAGGCCGCAGGCAGCCGGACGGGTGGACCTATTTCATACTCTCCCGACTGGTCTCGCGTCGTGTCCTGGGCGTGTGGTGTGTGCACAGTGCAGAGCCAGCGGGTGTCCAGATGCTGGATGACTAGGCAGAGATCATCAAGAAAGTACGTCTGTCAGCTGCCATTTTTTACGAACCAGCCCGAACCAGCCAATTTGAGCCTGTGCAGTGCTCTCATAGCTCCTGATAGCTAGGCAACATCTCGCCTGCAGCGCATGTGTGTACTGCGGGGTGGCCTACCCTAAGTATCGCAGGCGCCATTCCCCTAATTTGCCTAATGAATGTGACAATAGCGAACGTACTTTCTGGACGATCCCTAAGCCGACAGGATGACTTAGGTTAGCCAATTAATGCCACCTTCTGGTCCGCCGGGGTTAAAAAGCGAGGTTTAAGTCCGTTACAACCGCGGGGCTTGACCCACGAACGTTCTGTTTCGGGGGTCCGGAGCGGCGGCTTTGTCGCCCACCTGCTGGACACCCGGGGGGATTTATTGGAGTGTATGTAAGCGCGCCTCGGCCGGAAGAGATCTGCCCGCATTAACATAACTGAAATGGCAAGTGCAAAGCTCAGTAAACCTATAGAGCAGGGCTCGCGCCTGTACTCCCCCCTCTCCTCCTCCACCTCCTCCTCCTTTGGCCCCAGCTGACTCAGCTGCCCCCGCCCACGGGCCGCGTGAGTTGGACCCGCGCTGGACGTGCTCGCGAGCCCGACCACAGAGCGGCAGAGCCTGGTCTAGCGCGCGGCGCGCGGGTCACCCACCACACCAAGAGCGCGCGCGCACACCTGGCGTGGTACGGTGGACTCGCGCCCCGGGGGCCACCACCACCGCACCGCGCACCACGTGCGGCTCGTCGTAGGCGACCCGCAGAGGCGCGCTTCTTCTTCATGCCTTGAATGGGCGCCGTACGCGACGCCACGCCCCGCGGCGCATCACTCATCTGCATCGCGCGCGCGCTCGCACACACCAACACACACACACACACACACACACACACACACACTAACGCCTCTGCTTGCTAATGAATGCGTCGCTCCGTCACAACAAACGAATGAGCAGCTTTTGGTGGATGGCGCCGCCGCCGCTGTCTTTGGCGGCGGCTCGTCTCCCGGCCACCGTCCGGCTGGGCGTTCCTCTCTCCCCGGCGGGGTCTAATGCGCGCCGCTCCTTGATTAAACATATTTTCGGCGATGATGTTATTATGCAGTTCGTGTTTGTGATTTGGCTGCGCCGGCGCCAACGTCAAGGCGGCCACCCACCGGCACAAGGACGCCACTCGGGCCGTGCCATTGCGGCGTCCTCCCCGCCCCGCCAGATGCCGCCGGGCGATAGCCCCCTTCGGGTGCGTTCATATTCGCTTTCTTCAGGGTCCGGCCGGCTCACCCGAAAGGGGACCGGCGGCGGCGCGGCGGCGGAACGTGGTGCGCCAAGGGTGTCGCGGGGGGCGGGCCGGGCGGGGACCTCGAAAGGAGGACGTCGGCGTCGTCGTCGTCCCGCTGGAGGGCACGTGTGCGCGGCCGCCCGGGCTTGACCGCGCCGCCACCGCGGGGGTCATCGCATCTCCTTATAATCAGCATGCTACTCGGCGGCTGCCCCCCCCCTCCTCGCCCCGCCGGGTACCCACCGACCCGCCCCGCCTGCTGCTGCTGGTGACTCGGGGCCTAATTTTAGCGCCGACTATCTAAGCTGTCATATGGCGCATGGCACCCGCCCGCCGCCCCGCCCGACCCCAGGCAATCCGTCTACGTCAAGGAGCACACGTCCCACAGGAACGGATCAGGAGGAAGGTACTCTAACAGCGAGACGGAGTGAAGAGACAACGTCAGTTCGCGCGCAAAGAAGAATAAAAGTTCTGTTACATCGGCTTTGCTTCTGTCCTCTCGAATGCCGCTGCTGCTCCTTTAGAGTGCCGTTTTTCCATTCTCCCCGCTCGCGTGATACGTGACTGATGTCCTCGGTGATGTCATCCTCTCTCGCCGGGGCGTGGGCGCGGCGGGTCTCCTAGGCAACGATTCGCGACCCGGCCGGGGATTCGCGAATGACGATTGTCATTATTCATTTTCGCAAACAACGATGACGATGATGGTAGCCGGGAGGTGGCGGCGTCTCGAAGGGCGTGCCGAGGCGGGCCCCGCGCCGCCACCGGGACCGGAAGTCACCAATAATTTTTTGGCGGGAGTGAGCAGAGGAGGCGGAGGGAGGGCAGGGGACGGCGCGGTGCTGTCAAGCGTTAAAGCCCACACCCTCGGCGACCGAGAGCCGGTTCCTTGCCGGTGGCCGCCTGTGGCGCAGAGTATACTGTTGTGTGCTGATGGTGCTCGGATGCACACATCAAACACGAAAGTTTGTTTGTGGTTCACCACCGTGTCACTATAGTGGAGAGCCGAAGACGTGGTTGCTACTAACACAAGTTCGAGTGTGATCAAAAACGATGCAATAAGTTTTTCTCGGCGTTGCCGCCGCACCCCATGATGCATGCAACTACACTCTAGATGTCCGGGGGTCGGGTGGCAGGTACGAACATAGGTCCCCCAAGGCTTGCTGGCTGGCTGGGGAGCGTCTCCTCCGTCCTGCCTGGCCCTAGGTGGCGTTCCCCTATGGCGCCTGCTGCTCCTGGACACGGGCCAGCAACGGAACAGGCCAGGTGGGCTGCTACAGTGCAGTGGAGCCGAGACAGACCAGCCCAGCCGACCCCCCCC